GGTATAATAGATAATGTGAAATAGGAAGAAAAGGGGCAAAGGGGAAGGGGAAGTGGGAGGGGTAGGGGAAAGGAAAGAAGGAAATGGAATTAATGTGAGAAAATGAAAAAATGGAAACAAAGTCTTTGTAAATAGGGAGGGATGGAAGGGTTGAAGGGAGGGCAGGGGAAGGGGGAAAAATAAGAACGAAGAGAGATTATGTAAAGGTGCAAATTTCCAATGATGAATGTCATTACATTGTATACCAAAAATGTACCAATAAAATAAAATTTTAAAAAGGAAAAAGAAAAGAAACACATTATCACAAGGCCATTAGCAAACACAGAGTGGAGGACAGGGTGGAGGACAGAAGAAGTCACATGTGAATACCAAAACCACAGCCAACAGGTAATTCCATCCCACTTGATGAGGCTCCTGCCAAAGATGTCCCCCATAAGAAAGGCTGTGTTCCATGATGCCTTTCATACTGAGGTCACCTGGAGCACAGAACTCTGCCTGGCCACAGGATGCAATAAACACTACAAACAGTCTCCCTCAGGGTCCCACTTGGTGCTACTCACTGTGCGCAGCCTCCTGGAGCTGCAGTTCCTTTGTCAGCCGGCTGTGGTCTTCCACCACGCTTCCCAGCTCTCCTGCAGTCCTAGACCTGAGTGCCCACAGCCTGCTCAGGATGGGCTCCAGCCCTTCTCGCTCTGAGGTCAAGGTTCGAATCTCCTCCGTGAGGTCCTTGGCTGTGCAGAAATGGCTTCCTACAGCACAGTGCGGGAGAGAAGGAGGGAGACAGGCATTGTAGCATCTGCAAACATGAAGAACTAGTGGTACCCAAGGCATGTCTGCAGCATGGGAAAAGAGACCCTGCTCTGCAGTGAGGCACAGCTTCCTTAACAGCAGTCTCTTGAGGAGCCAGGAAAGCGCTACGCTCCTTAAACTGAAACACATTCTTCCTTTCACCACCTTGTTCTTGGTATGTCTGTGTTAGGGTTTCCGCTGGCTGATTCATACATTGTAAAAAGAATGACACAAAAATGTCTCTTTGGGACACATGAAAGCCACAGGATATCATGCCATTCAATATCCAAATGTCAAAGTGTAATTTATTACACACGGTAGAAAGGGACTAAGCTGTGGAGTCAGACCAGGCCTGAATTAAAATCTTAGTCCTCCTGTTTCTCAAACTGTGAGATGTGGAGCAATGAAATCAGTGCATCCATAACACCCATTTTATAAAATATGATTGCAATAATGTCTAAATCATAAGTAGCTACAAGAATATAAAAGAAATTCTGTAAAGCACTAAGCAAAATATATGGCACATTGAATTTAACAGGATACAAGGTCAATGTACAAAAATCAATGTATGTCTAAATATTGACAAATTATTGGAAGATGATTTTAAAATACAGTTTATAAGATATTTTAAATCTAAAAATACTTAGGGATAAATTTAAAGAAATATGTGCAAGAGCACTACAGTGAAAACTTTTTAAAAAAACTGACTGAAAGTAAAGACTTAAACAGAAAGATAAAATATAAATATACATAAGAAAATTCAGTGTTACAAAGATTTCAATTTTCTTCAGATTCATTCCCAATCAAAATTTCATAAGGCTCTTTTGTAGAAATTTATCAGCTTATTTGAAAGAAAAGAAAATGCAAAGTCCTAGATAAACCAAAGCAATCCATAAATAGTCTCAATTTCAAGACTAAAGTCATAACTACCATAAATCAACATAGTATGATGTCAGCATACAGAAAGAAAACTAGATCAATGGAATAGAATGAATAAATCCAAAAATCACTTACTCATTCAGTCAACTGTTTTTCAACAGTGCAAAGCAAATCAATGAGAAAAAGACAGTATTTTCAATAAATAATGCTCATACAACTACATAAGGAGAACATTAACTTTGGGCTATATCTCAAACCATATACAAAATACAACTAGAAATGGATCAGAGGTTCTAGAAAAGTTAAAACTATAAAACTTCTAGAAGGAAATATAGGAGAATATCTTACTGATTTTGAAGTAGGCAAAAACATTGCATAGGATACAAAAAAACACTAACTATAAAAGAAAAGAATTGATAAATGGGCCTCCATCAAAATTACAGACTTCTGTTCATGAAAAGGTACCACTCAGAAAATGAGTATTCAAGTCACAAACTTGGAGAAAATATTTGCTTCACATATATCTGACAAAGGACTTGAATCCCAAAGCTCAACAATTAAAACTCAAATAACACCATTGAAAATTGGGCCAAAAAAGAACTTAACAGGCATTTTACAAAGTAAGATACACAAAAAAGCTGATGAGCATATGGGAAAGTCTTTGACATCATCAGTCATCAGCAAAATGCAAATTAAAACCATGGAAATTCTACTACAAACTCATTCAAATGGCTCCAAGGAGCCAAACTGAAAATGCCAATACTGGGGGACCCAGGACCGCCAGAACTATCACATGCAAAACAGTACAACCCTTCAGAGAATGCTCTGCTGGCTTCTCATGAAGTTAAACTTATGCCCCCCGCCCCGTGACCCAACAACCATACTTCTAGGTATTTACATCACAGAAAGGAAAACATGTAATCAAAAAGACATTCACTTGAAAGTTAATAGTAACTTACTTATGAAAACCTAAATCTGGATGCAACCTACATGTCTATCCACAGGAAAACACAAAAATGGTGGCACGTCTGCACAGTTTGAGACCACTCAGCATTAAAAGGCAACAAGCGATTGCTTCATGCAGCAACACAGATGATGCTCAAAAGAAAAGATGCAAAAACCAAATGCCACCAAATTCCACTGACATTACATTCTAAAACAGGCAAAACTAGTCCATGGTAGAAGATTCCAGAACAGTCATCTGAGAAGGAGGGATAATACCTGGCAGGTGATGTTTCTGGGGTGATAAAAACAGTACTTGTCTTGGTAGGGCTGTTAGTAAAACACATGTTGCCAGGCATTGTGGTACACCTGTAATCCCAGCACTCAAAAGGCTGAGGCAGGAGGATCATGGAGAGTTTGAGGCCAGCCTTGGCTACACAGTGATTTTCAGACCAGCCTGAAATACAGAGTGAAACCCTGTCTCAAAAAAACCCACAGGTGCCATAGTTCATAGAACAGTACTCATAAGACTTGTCCATTTCATTGAATGCAAATCATACCTCGGTAAAAAGGAAAAATAGGGAAAATTTAAACAAGAAAATTAAGCAAAAAATTAATAAATATATCACATTAATGCATGCTCCATAAATAATAGTTACCATTACTGGAAAACTCCACTGCATTTGATCAGACTTTACTGTAACCATAATGACAAAACAGATAGGAACCTTGGGAGGTAGGTTATTCCTCACACTGCCAACTCTAAGATGCATTTTTTCTTATAACAGTTTGGCATTTCTGAAATAAGATGTGTCTTAGAACCATTAGAGGGGAGGCAGTCAGCCCCGGTGTTTCAATACACAAATCACTTCAGGACCACTTCTTGTTGTTGACTGAAAATCTTCTGTGGATGTGGATTTGTAAGGTCAGGATAGCACCCACATGTAAAACTTGATGAATAGGCCAAGCGTGGTGGCACATACCTATAATCCCAACATTCTGGGAGATCAAGGCAGGAAGATCACAAATGCAAGCTCAGCCTGGGCAACTTAGTGACTTAGCAAGACCCTGCCTCAAAATAAAATGGGGATGTAGCTTAGTGCAAATTTCTGGGCTCAATAAAATAAATACATGCATACATACACACACACACACACACACACATACAAAAAAAAAAAAAAAAAAAAAAAACAAACCTTGAATGAATGGTATTAGCACCTTGGCAGAGAGACTTACAGAAATCAGTATTACGGGGGGGGGGGGGGGCACTGCACCCTCAATAGGTCCAAGGGCACAGAGGATGTAACATGAGAAAACATCATTCCTAAAAACTTTGAACCCATAAATGTTTCAAAAACCCTTTGAATGTGAAGACAAAGATAACTTAGAAAAACTTTAACCATTGTATTTTCTCTTCTAAAGAAAGGTATGTGATTTTTTAAAGCCTAAATACATCTAAAAGAGTTATTTCAGTAAGTATAAAATGAAAATTCTTGGCCACAAAAAGCATTGTATCATTGTTTAATTGACAGCAATTTTTCTTTCTTTGTAGTATATAAAACACTGGTGCTTTTTTATGTTCACAGAAATACACATGGTTATCTCTACTTTGCAGCTGAGAAAACTGAAATCTAGAGAATTCAATATCTTTCTGAAGGTCACAGAGCAATAAACAACAGGGCAAGTTTCTACCTCAAACATAACTCCAGAATCCTCCTCCCCTCTTAAATACTAAACTCTGCTGCTTACTTCTTTTATTACTGTTTGATGGGAAGATTTCAAACTGATATAAATGTTGAAAAATGTTACAGAATGTTTTCCCACCTTAAGGGCATTCTGAACACCCAGCACATAATTCTGTCACTGACATCTATGGTTTCTGATCCCATGGTGCGAGAATCATCTTTTGAAACTGTCTATCATTGTACTTGGTAACACAGCAAGTAGTACAAAGAACAAGGCTCTGCCTGCCCTTCAGGAAATGACCACAAAATAAAGGGGACAAGATCCATCACAAAGAATAGGCAAAGGTACACTGGGAGAGTCAGAGAAGAGAGTATGCTCCAGAGGGGAGACTGAGGCAGGTTTCACAAGGACAGAATGTAAGACTTCCAGAAGCAGAAGCAGGAACACTAGTTAAAAAGCAAAAGGTAGGTGGGAGGAGGCAGGTGACTGACAAAGAAGCTATACCAAGTGTAGTACCCCAAATGCTGGTGGGTTTAGACCAATTTGCAAAATATACTCCCAGTAATGCCACAGGACAGCAGGCTGAAAGCTTTCAAGTCTTAAACAGAAGCACACCAAGCCTCGCTCAGACAGGAGCTGCCTGTTCTAAACAATGATTAGTCACAGTAGCTGGGGTAGAGCCCCCTTGCCCTGGGATGCCACAGAGAACCCAGTGGGAGCCCAGGTTCTTGGGGAGCTGGCAAGAGGACCTGCCCAGGGGTATGGTACATGGGGCAGAGCAGCCAGGTCCAGGTTGGCAGTGTCACACTCTCCTACCAGGCTGGGCCGAGGGAACCCTGACCTCTCTGCTGGGCCACTTTGGACAATGGGGTGGGCAACAACTCTGGCCCCAGAGACAACAAGCAGGATGCTTACACTGTGCTGTTTCCTCCTACACATCGTTCAGAGAAAAGAGACTCAGAACATCGGGGAAGAGTGACATACATGGTGGAGTGTCCATGAAACAGCCATGCTGGAAATGTGTCCTCTGAGCCCTGCTGCCCATCGTCGCTCTAGAGGTCAGAGTCCTTACAAAACACCGAAGAGACAGTTCATTAAAACATGGCCTTTCCCTGATCCTGAGGCCTAAGGTTTGGGGAACTGCATGGTGATAGAAGTGAACATTTCATTTGTGCAGAATGAGTGAATTTCCAAAGAGACAGGGATTATCAAAACTCAAGCCATGATAAAATGCTACACTGCCCAACTTAGTATTTTATAAGCATCCTGACCTCACATCCAAGCCCTGGAGGCAAACCTTGCTCAGTGAGGCCTTCCCTGATTGCTGAACTGGTCAAGAGCTGGCAACAAAATTCAGAAAGGCAACTGGGCCTGGAGGAAGCCCATGAGCAAACAGCTAATGGGCCGTGGGAGGGTGTGTGTGCACCCCATGTGCAGGGAAGGATCTGCCAAA